TTGTATGGGGACCGCTTGGGAACACCTGGTACTGTAAGCCCCTAAAGTCCAACCCTTACCTCATCGGTGGGGGGGTTAAAACGGTAGTGTCAGAGTTATGCCCCGGAACTTCGTTCCTGGTAAAGCCACCCAAAGAACAGGTCTGACACACACGCCGGCTAAAAAGGGCTCTGGTGAAAATCCAAGGAGCGTCTGCATCGGTAACCGGCGGCTTCTGGTCGTTCCTGTCTCTGCGTCTGTGGGAACCCCGCGGCAAGCAAGAACGTTATCCGAGTAGGCCTGGGTACCCTACTTCTGTAATTTATCCCAAGAATCTTCTTCTCATAACAGGAAGAAGCCGGCTCAATCCGCCCAGGGTGAATGCCGCATCAGTACAGTACAGTACAGTATGATCAGAGAGATGTAACGTGCATTAATATATTATACTAGCCATTATCGTTGCTTTCATGGTTCAATGGCAGAAACTCTTATTTTCCTTTTGTATCCCAAATAGCAGTGTACGTTTTATTATAAACTAGCTTAAAAGACGCCCTATCGGGTGTCATTTAAGCTAGCTCCTGTAGAGGACTCTGGTTTAACATGACAGTAGCTAAGGAGGAGTAGAGGGGATAGTCATCAATAAACTACAGAAGAACTCAAAATTGATCGCTGCATTTAATTATTGTATTAATGTTTAACCATACTTTTTAAAATTTCAACAATAATTCATCTGCTGCCACTTAATTTAAAGACGATTTGATGTACGTAGGTCCTTATTTTCCGTACAAACAATTATTTCATGAGTGACAGAACAGGGGACAATTTCTAAGATAAAATTAATATAGTGTAAAGATGGGAAAATAGAAATTAGTTACACATTTGAAGAGTTATAGAAACATAATAGCTAATTAAGTAAAACCTATATTATAGAATCGATATGAATAAATGCGATTTTGGATCACTATTATCCAACAACTTCTGGCGTGGTTTAAATAATTTATACGGTGTTTACTCATTCCCCCACTAAAATGAGATGTGACACAAGGTCGGATAAATGTAGGGACCCGAGCGCGTACACCCGGGCAGGGACAAAAATTCCCCTCAACCCCCGCCAGTTGCGCTGGCCTCGCTGCGAGCACCGATCCTTCCCTCTTGTGCAATGGGAGGGCGCGGCCTCGGGCAGTTGTTCCCCAGGGCTGGGCACCTCTTCAGTATAATTTTCCTCAGTTGCCTCTCTATCCTTAGACAGGACAAGGACAGAGACGCAACTGAGAGATGATAAATAATACGCACAAATTACTTATAGCAATTTATACACTAAACCCTCAACATCTGCATTATATATTATCTACTTCTAGGTGCTATCACTCTTCAGGTTTATCTAATTTGCATATTGATTTTAAAATATATATTTTATTAATTAACTGTCCTTCATTAGTGTCCTTTTATTCAAGGCTTGTTTTGATTTTCACATCAAAAATAGTTCTGTTTAGCAATATCGTCTTATACAGTGCAGAAAATTTTACTTGGCCTTCAACAAGTTGGCATCTATTTGTAAAACTTTCCTTAACTATAACAAGCCAATTTATGAATAAAATGTACATTTAAAATTTTTGTTTCAAAGATTTCAAGTATTGAATATATCTTATTTTGCGAAGCGTTAACGAACTGGCGGATCCTGCTAGTCAATAATGAGGAGGGTACGGCTTTCTTTGACACTGGAAGTACCTGGTCTTTCATTGCTTATGATAAGAGGCTCAGGCTGAAGATCGATTCTACAATTGAGAATGCACCCATGGCTTCTTCGTCATTGAACTCTCCAATAAAGAGACTCCATACAGTCGAAATACACTTATTAGGCGATTCATACCTTGACACAAGTGTAACAATATGATTTCTCACACATCTTTAGAAGATAAGAAGATAAATTCCTTTCTTTTAAGTTCATTCAGCTGCCTGAGTTTCGTGGGAATTTCATCTCCACTCCATCCTTGAAGCCGGGTTTTCAGGATTCATGTCTCCAGTTTGCCATTGAATTAGGAAACAAAATATTATCAACGATTTTAGATAGTCATAAAAGTAATCTTTTGAAGATTTGAGCACCCATGTGGCTTTGGCGTGGTCTCAAAACTTTAAATTTGTAGTTGATTATTTTGGACCCCCAGATATAAAGATGCAGAAAGAAACGGGAAATCGGAATTAAATCAAAACAAACTTTGAGAAAGTTGGGTGGCCAAAGGTGTTAAGTAGCTGCCCATCACTCATCATAATTCAAGGACAGGTATGAGGATTTTCATCAAAGGCCAGTGAAGTTTCTAAGATAGCAGTATTACAGTTTTTTTTGTCTTATATATATTTGATTTAACTAGTGAGTTAGTCAAAATGTACTTAATTCCCTTTATAGTCTACCAATAGAAGGTTAACCAATCAGAAGCCGCAGAACATTGTATCCGTCGTGTATAAAGGCGGCCATTTTTGTTTACCCTACTCGAATGACCAGTGCCAACTTGTCAGGCGAAGATGACAAGGAATTACTACACTCTGCTACTTTGCTGCGATATCCACTGCTAACCTGAACTACGCTTTCCCACTGTCTCCGAAATATTCACTACTAACCTCTGGATTCTATACTCGAAGATGACCGTCAAAATGTCTAACAAGCAGCCCATCTCTCGAAGCTGAAGGGAGGATCCCAAGTTTAAGTGATAAATCGTATTTTTGCTATTTCCCAATCAGAGAGTCTTGAAAAGCAATTGTCTTCATTTTTTGTTGAAAGCTATTACGGCCCAACAAGACAAACCTATGCACATAGCGAGTTGGGTGTATATGCAAATACAATCAACTTTTGATGTCATCACAGGTGCATGGAACGATGGAGTGCGCCGTCACATAACTTGTCACAAAAGGTGTCACAAGGCAATTAGTTTTATCTGATCCCTGCTGTGATGTGATTCTAGTTCAAGATGTTATGGGCCAAGACGCAGAAGTGTCGTTCGATTTTGGTGGCACTAAGAAAAGTCTTCGCATTTCTAATTGTATTCATTGTGGTCTGCCATCTGCTTCAGTGGACATACCATCTCTATTTTTCACCCCGATTCCAAATTGCTAACCTATCACCAATTGTTATACTATAATACCTATTCTATTGTAATAGACTCTCCGACAGATAATAAGTAGTAGTAGCAGTGGGCAATTCGGCTCAATGGCGTCTCGCGGTATTTGACTGCGTACGCCTCCTGTCGACCTCTCTGCGTTAGCAGAGGAACCCAGACGAGCTTTGCCGAAGGGCAAGGTTTCGTCCGGGGAATAGATTTTACTGAACCCGTATAATCGGCTTCAAAGGCTATTTTTTGGCCGAGCCTACGGGCTCGGGAAACCCCACATAAAAACCGGCCTTGTGCCATATTCCATTCCGTGGGTGAGAAGATAAATACTCAATGGCGTCTCGCGGTCTTTTTAGCGCGCGCCTTCTGTCGAACTCTCTGCGTTAGCAGAGAGAACCCAGACGAGGCTTTGCCGAAGGGCAGATTTTGTCCGGGGAGGTAGAATAAGCCTGAACCCGTCTAGGCGGGTTCAAAAGGCTGGTTTTTTGCCGAGCCTACGGGCTCGGAGAAACCCACATTAAAACCGGCCTTGTGCCATATTCGTTTTCTCCTGGGTGAAATAATAAATACCAAAACTGTCTCGCGGTCTTTGATGCGCACGCCTTCTGTCGAACTTCTTCTGCGTTAGCAGAGAGGAACCTGACGAGGCTTTGCCGAAGGCAAGGTTTCGTCCGGGAGGTAGTCAGGGCCTGAACCCGTCTAATCGGCTTCAAAAAAAGTTTTTGGCCGAGCCTACGGGCTCGGAAGATATTTATATAAAACCGGCCTTGTGCCATATTCGTTTCCGTGGGTGAAATAATAAATACCCAATGGCGTCTCGCGGTCTTTCTGCGCGCGCCTTCTGTCGAATTGTTTTGCGTTAGCAGAGAAGAAAATATGACGAAGTTTTGCCGAAGGGCAAAGTTTCGTCCGATACAACTTAGATGTGAACCCGTCTAGGCGGGTTCAAAATATTTTTGGCCGAAACTACAGGCTCGGAAAACCCACATTAAAACCGGCCTTGTGCCACATTCAATCCTCGTGGGTGGATCGATAAATACTCAGTGGTGTTGAGCGCGTCATATTTATGTCGGACATTGGAGTATCAACCATCACAACTAAATTGCTGCGTGACTAACTAATTATTGCAAGTTCCTAACGTTTTGTACGTCGAACCTAATTTAGGACCGACTTATTAAAATATATGCCTCCACTGTGAAAACTACTCTACAACACCAATAAATCAAGAAAACCTGGAAATTATGACTTTATGTTTTCACTGTCGGAGATTGATAATGTGCTACGGGAGGGTTCTATCAAAACAATACATCTCCTTAGAGAGGTCAGGTCTTTAGCATCAGCAAAGAATATTATTCATTTGATGACTATAGCCAGACTATGAACCGATACACTCACCTTCATGGTTACCTCCACTGAGGATTTTCATTATGACATTTCTCAGTTCAAGCATTACTACCCGTTAGACCTGGAAAGTGGTTACCACCAAATAGACATCCGAAGACGTCCTTTGACGTTAACGGCAAGCTTTTTCAATTCTGCAGAATTCCATTTGATGCCAGAATTGTTGTAGCCTGTTTTCCATGTTTTATGGCCGACAAGACTGTGTTTTCTCAACGAGAAATAAAATCAAACTTTTTGGAGCATCTTCATTTAAATGACAGCAAGAATGCCGGAATATTTTTAATCTACAAAAAGAACGAACATTTTTGCTTATACAATATCTCAGTTCTTCATTTTTGTTTTCATCGATTTATTTCCGTTACAATCGAAGAAAGACATCAATGTCAGTTGTTCTTTTCATCTGTGCGACAGATGAACTAGATTGGGTTCAAAATTAAACGAAGGAAACCTGTGATTTGTTCGTGCTTTTAAATTACAGAGTAAATGTTAATATTATCTCATATAGGAATTATTTCCATGGAAATAAGAAAGACGACAAAAACGACCATTGAAGCATCTAACTATATCAGTTTGTATCTATTTCAACTTCTTCGTATCTATCTATCTATCTATCTATCTATCTATCTATCTATCTGCTCCGATGAGCTGCTTTCGCTGGTTTCAAGACTTCATGAATTTAAGCGTTCTAATAGGCTGACTTTTTGCACTTTCACTGTCGAAACTGTTAAATGTAGCCGTCTCTTCTACTCCAATAGCTTCATGACTCGCACTTCTCGCCTGTGGAACTCCCTCCCTATTGCTTGTTTCCCTGATAGCTATAATCTTCAACTATTTAAATGTAATGTCAATCGACGTCTCCAGATGCCCTGATCTATCCCCTAACCTTCTCTTCCTCCTTTCCTCTATCATTCCTATTTGCTCTCGCTCCAACTCTCTGTAACCCCTATATATATATATATATGCCTGCTTTATCTATCTATCTATCTATCTATCTATCTATCTATCTCAGTCTGTTAATTAAAGTGAAAAGTCTAGGTAAGTTATGGAGGACGCTAAGTGACTTAATTTAATAAAAAATGATGTTGTTATTCAATGTTATTTTATATTTTTATAACGTAATAATTATTTAAATTATTTTAATTTGGGATTAATTTATGTATTATATATTCGGAATAAAAAAAATGGTTATAAACTGAACGGTTTTCTTTAGATTTTTTTACATTTTTACTTTAGGTTACGCAGAGCGATATACACCTGAGGAAGGCCGAAGAGCACAACGTCGAAAATGTTTGATAAACTCTACAAAAACGAGGATAATAGTTGAATATAAATAGTGTAAATAATGATAACTCCATTTTCCAGAAATGAATTCCCTTTAGATTACCGAGAATGATATAAATCTGAGGAAGGCCAGATAGCACAACGGCCGAAATATTGTGATAAAAACAACAAAGATGAGGACAAAATCCGACTATAAATAGTGTTAATAATGATAACTCCTCATCCCAGAAATGAATTCCCTACAGGTTACTCAGATCGACATACACCTGAGGAATGCCGGAGAGCACAACGGCCGAAATATTGTGATAAAAACAACAAAGATGAGGACAAAATCTGAATATGAATAGTGTAAATAATGATAACTCCGCATCCCAGAAATGAATTCTTTATAGGTTACCCAGATCGAAATACACCTGAGGAAGGCCGGAGAGCACAACAGCCGAAATATTGTGATAAAACAACAAAGATGAGGAAAAAAGCCAGAATATAAATACTATAAATAATGATAACTCCTCATCCCAGGAATGAATTTCCTAGAGGTTACCCAGATCTACATACACCTGAGGAAGGCCGGAGAGCACAACGGCCGAAATATTGTGATAAAAACAACAGAGATGTGGAAAAAAGTCAGAATATAAATAGTGTAAATTATGGTAACACCTCATCCCAGAAATGAATACAAAATCTGTTACGAGATTTTGATGAAGTCAGAACAACAGATCGAATAGATACAGAGAACTAAATATATCCTTTCTAAGTGTTTACGAAAAGATAGTGCAATTAGCTTTGTAAATTCCCCGGTGTGTTTTCCCTCCGATTTCATTTGTCCTCCAATCGTGTGCTTTTGACATTTTGACATCAATTATGCGCCGCAAACGTTCATTTTCTTTTCCAGTTTCACTATGATTCTCACTATCAATTATCTCCCTTTAAAGACACGTTACGGAAATTCCCCTCAGTCAAAGCACCGTTTTTGAAGCCACGTTAAAGAAAGCAAACGCCCTTTCATTTTCTTGGGGGTGCTGAATTAAAATTGAATTACGGACCAAACCACCGGACAAAATTGTGTATCAAAGCTGATAAACACAGACCATATTTCCTTGAACATAACTTAAAAAAAAATAGGTGTTGATATTTCCTTTTATGATTGCAATTTTTCTGGAATTTAATTTAATTCTAGGTTTAGTTTCAATCTGAGTGCATATTTGACTTGCTGTCAATTTGGTGGAATGAAGTGAGCAATCTGGCACCATCATTATTTTCAAAGAAGAAAGAGGAAAAGAAGAGAAAGGATTTTGTGACGTCAAACGCGACGCGAACTGAAGCAAAGCGATGTCAGTCTTGATTGGATTAGGTTAAAACTATAATCAAGATTACTGGAAGTATGATACGTAGGATGGAAGAAAAGTTCATAGTCTGACCAAAATACTCTCATGGAATGTGAACAAATGAGGTTTATTTTTCAATATAGTCCCCACTTGTGTTGCATAGCAGTGTAGTGCTTGGATCCCATTGGTGAAAAAACTTTCATCTTGTTGGCAAGAAAAAGTCTGCAAGAGCAGATATAACGTCATCACTGTGATACTGATTCACAGCCATAGTTTTTTTTCATGGTTGGGGAAAACAGATGATAATCATATCAAGAGAATAGTGAGGTTGATTAACCAGTTCAAAACCACAGTAACGCACGGCATCAGTTAAAACCAGGGATTGGCAAAGTTCCTACAACTGTTGTTAAATGGGGCAAGGAGTTGATTGTTAATTTTATTGCCTCAAAAACAAAAGTGCTATTTTTTAATCAACTCAGAGGACATCTGTGTATGAATTTCTGGGTATTAAAAATCTCCCGAGCCGACCAAGCATAGAAATGAATACAATATGGGAACCAGTAATAAGGCGTGCCAGAGAAATTCGATAACAACAACAAAAGTTGTAATATGAGCTCTGGTAAAAAAACGTGCAATGATGACAGAAAAAAATTGCAATATGAACACTCGTAAAAATGGTTTCTGAATTCATACACAGATGTCCTCAATGACAAATGACACAGTGGATAAAGGCTTTGGTTAGATCCAGTGACAGGACCCAAAGAGTGTGAGTTCAATACCCGGTTAAGGCAGAGGGAAATTAACAGGAGATAACTGACATCCATTAAACATGGCACGTGGAACTAAAACAGTTTACCCCAGACTGAGTGGAATAAAGGGTTAAGTTCGACATTCCGACCACCTAAAGAAGGTCGTAGAGTACAACGGCTGAAACGTTGTAATAAATATGGCGACAAAGATGAGAACAATAGTCCGAATAATGTAAATAAAGTAAATTCTTTGCTAACAGTTTTTTCACTCGCAGTTCTTGATTTACAGTCAACTTTGACCTTCAAACGTTTAAATACAGTATAAATCAGTTTTTTTTCTTAGATCCTTTTATTGTTTTATAAATAAATTTTATATAATAATGTTTTCTTTTTCTCATATTCTCTCACACAGCAACCCTGAGCCTTAGTGACTTTATTGCCTTGTTTAGTTGAAATTAATCAAAAAAACAAAACATTACGCTTGTGCACAATATACGATATGCTGATGATATGAACATTCTAATAAGAGACTAAAAAGTGATACATGATATTTTATTGATAGATAAATTACTATTGATACTGGTAACACACCAGAGATAGAAAGAGAGAAAAATGACGAGTGTGAGAATCCAATAAATCATAATTTAGTGGTACGTCACAATACAAACATTCTATGGACAGGCAAGAAAAAGAAAAGAAAAGAAAAAAGATGCATGTTTTTTCTCCTAAAACATATTCTCTCACAAAAAGTAACACCTTTTTAATCTGAAATCATTATTGTATAATACTTGATCTATGTTATTTATACTCAATATTGCATCAAGTACATTAACAGGTGGCTCGGAAAATACACGGTCAGTTAACAGTACAGCAGAAAAAATAAATTAAACGTGTCGACTCTACTTACATACCAGCTGCCGTAACGAAATTCCCTGTGCCTTATCTATAAATAATTTTATGGTAATCGCTCTGATAGACTTTTCACTATACTACTTCGTCTATATGCATTTAAGCGTAGTACTAGATTGACAGCAATGTTTCTTCGTTTAACAGTTGAAATGATTAGATGTAACCTTAAGTTCTATGTTAGCAGTTTTTTACTATTGCGATTCTCGCTTGTGGAACTCACTTCCGGTTTCTAGTCAAATTTGATTTTCAAAATGTCAATCGTTATATTCTGTCTTTTTATTTCAGGGTTTTCTTGCTCTGCTATTAATGGCGTTTTACGTCACATATTCTATCACGTGCAGTAACTCATTTTTAATATGAAATTATTATTGCATAATACTCGATATATGTGATTAATATTCAATGCTGAATATAGTTACTATATTCTTAATACTTGGCATAATGCAAAAATGAAGGCGTAATGGATAGCAGCTCGGACTGAGGAATAAGAGAGCCGAGTTCGAATTCCACTCGATTCCTTTATATTCACTTACTTACAAATAATACACTTCTCTCCCCAGATAGAGGTAAATAGCAGGAGAGTCCGGGTTTAATAGCCTTAGTTTACCGCAGAAAGAAATGACAACCACGAGCGAGAAAAATCTAACCCGTCAGTCATGTATCGAAAAATACATGATCGTCTAGGCGTGTATCACACAGGGCACAGAACTGAAGTAAAATATAACTATTTATAGAGGGACTCATATATGAAGTTACAAGAAATCCATAATATTTTGAAATCATAATTATTATTCGCTTATTAATTTTTAAAAATTGTTTCTAAATCTTTGACTGTCATTCATTCATTCCGCCTCACTTGTTATCCTCTTCCACATCACCTGCTATCGTCTTCCGCTTCTCCTGCTATCCACTTCCGCCTCTCCTGCTATCCGCTTCGACATCAGCTGCTATCCTCTTCGGCCTTTCCTGCTATCCTCTTCCACATCACATGCTATTCTCTCCCATATCACCTGCTATCCTCTTCCGCCTATCCTGCTATCCTATTCCACCTATCCTGCTATCCTCCTCCACATCACCTGATATTCTCTTCCGTCTCTCCTGCTATCCTAAAAAGCCTCTCCTGCTATCCCTATTCCGTCTCTCCTGGTATCCTCTTTCACATCACCTGAAATCCTCTTCCGCCCCCAGCCTCTTCCATCTCTCCTGCTTCCTCTTCCCATCTTGCTTCCTCTTCCTGCTATCCTCTTTCCTTATTTTATCCCTCTGGTTGGACATCCTCTTCCAATCTCCTGCAAGTGGAACTCGTATATATGATCTATTGCTAATGATGCTCTCCTGCTATCCTCTTGCCGCCTCTACAAAAGCTCTGGATCTATCAGGTTTGGACGCAATCCTCTTCCCCCACCTCCTAACCTGAAAATCATCTAAAATTTGCCGCCTCCCACATCATAGGATATCCTTCTTCCCACCTCCCCCTGACATAACCTCTTCCGTCCGTCTAATTTTCTTCGTATATTTCCCATCTCTTCCGCCTCCATAAGTTTCCTCCTGCTTCCTCTAACCTTATAAGTCCTCTCCTGCTATCCTCTATAAAACTCCTGCGAAAATCTCTCCTTGCTATCCTCTAAAAATTAATCCTCAAGCTATGATTCCGCTCCTCCTTTGTCCTCTTCCAATTCTCCTGCTGTCCTCTTCAAATGGAGTCCTGTATTCCTCTTCCCAATTTCCTGCAATCCTCTTCCCATCAACAAATCCTCTTCCCACCTCTCCCTGCTATCCTCTTCCACATCACATACTTCCTCTTCCCTGACTCCTCCTGCTATCCTCTTCCGGATCTCATCACTCTTGTCGTATTTGGACACCGTGCCTTGCAATGCCTTGAAATACTTCCCTCGTATATATGATCTATTGCTAATGATGCAGGTAAAATGGTCGGCTCTCTGTGCCGCCTCCGTCTTCCCTGACTCCTCCTGCTATCCTCTACCCTTATAAGAACCGATCAGGCCAAAAATGGATACTCTTGTCATATTTGGACGCAACTCCTCCTCACAATGCACTGTGCTTTGAAATACTGACCCCACCTCAAGTGGAACTCTATATATGATCTATTGCTAATGATGCAGGTAAAATGGTCGGCTCTCTGTACCGCCTCCGTAAGTGCCTGTCTATTCCTGCTATCCTCTACACTTATAAGAACAGGATCAGGCCCTCCAAAATGGAACCTCAAGTGGAACTGTTGTTATGATTTATTGACGCAACTTACCTCTCCTGCTTCAACCATGCCCAAAATGGAGTCTGTGCCTTTATCTTTACCTCACATGAAATCCTGCCTCACCCAAACCTCAAGTGGAACTTTTATATATGATCTATTGCCAATGATGCAGGTAAATGGTCGGCTCTCTGTGCCGCCTCCGTAAGTGCCTTCCGACTCCTCCTGCTATCCTCTACCCTTATAAGAACCGGATCAGGCCAAAAATGGAGTACTCTTGTCGTATTTGGACGCAACTTACCCAGGCCTCACCATGCACCGTGCCTTGAAATACTGACCCCAAACCTCAAGTGGAAACTCATATATATGATCTATTGCTAATGATGCAGGTAAAATGGTCGGCTCTCTGTGCCGCCTCCGTAAGTGCCTAACTCCTCCTGCTATCCTCTACCCTTATATAAGAACCGGATCAGGCCAAAATGGAGTACTGTTGTCATATTTGGACGCAACTTACAAAGACTTCACCATGCACCGTGCCTTGAAATACTGACCCCCAACCTCAAGTGGAACTCGTATATATGATCTATTGCTAATGATGCAGGTAAAATGGTCGGCTCTCTGTGCCGCCTCCGTAAGTGCCTGTGCCTCCTGCTATCCTCTACCCTTATAAGAACCGGATCAGGCCAAAATGTGTACTGTTGTCATATTTGGACGCAACTTCCCTCACAATGCACCGTGCCGGAAATACTGACCCCCAACCTCCTGGAACTCGTATATATGATCTATTGCTAATGATGCAGGTAAAATGGTCGGCTCTCTGTGCCGCCTCCGTAAGTGCCTGACTCCTCCTGCTATCCTCTACCCTTATAAGAACCTGGAGTACTGTTGATATATTTAGACGCAACTTACCCAGACTTCACCATGCACCGTGCCTTGAAATACTGACCCCCAAACCTCAAGTGGAACTCGTATATATGATCTATTGCTAATGATGCAGGTAAAATGGTCGGCCACTCTGTGCCGCCTCCGTAAGTGCCTCCTCCTCCTGCTATCCTCTACCCTTATAAGAACCGGATCAGGCCAAAATGGAGTACTGTTGTCGTATTTAGACCAAAACTTACCAGACCTCACCATGCACCGTGCCTTGAAATACTGACCCCAAACCTCAAGTGGAACCTCTTCATATATGATCTATTGCTAATGATGCAGGTAAAATGGTCGGCTCTCTGTGCCGCCTCCGTAAGTGCCTGACTCCTCCTGCTATCCTCTACCCTTATAAGAACCGGATCAGGCCAAAAATGGAGTACTCTTGTCGTATTTGGACGCAACTTACCCAGACCTCACATGCAAATGTGCCTTGAAATACTGACCCCAACCTCAAGTGGAACTTATATATATGATCTATTGCTAATGATGCAGGTAAAATGGTCGGCTCTCTGTGCCGCCTCCGTAAGTGCCTGACTCTCCTGCTATCCTCTACCCTTATAAGAACCGGATCAGGCCAAAATGGAGTACTGTTGTCATATTTGGACGCAACTTACCCAGACCTCACCATGCACCGTGCCTTGAAATACTGACCCCCAACCTCAAGTGGAACTCGTATATATGATCTATTGCTAATGATGCAGGTAAAATGGTCGGCTCTCTGTTGCCGCCTCCGTAAGTGCCTGACTCCTCCTGCTATCCTCTACCCTTATAAGAACCGGATCAGGCCAAAATGGAGTACTCTGTCGTCATATTTGGACGCAACTTACCCAGACCTCACCATGCACCGTGCCTTGAAATACTGACCCCTCAACCTCAAGTGGAACTCGTATATATGATCTATTGCTAATGATGCAGGTAAAATGGTCGGCTCTCTGTGCCGCCTCCGTAAGTGCCTGTCTCCTCCTGCTATCCTCTACCCTTATAAGAACCGGATCAGGCCAAAAATGGAGTACTGTTGTCGTATTTGGACGCAACTTACCCAGACCTCACCATGCACCGTGCCTTGAAATACTGACCCCCCAACCTCAAGTGGAACTCGTATATATGATCTATTGCTAATGATGCAGGTAAAATGGTCGGCTCTCTGTGCCGCCTCCGTAAGTGCCTGACTCCTCCTGCTATCCTCTACCCTTATAAGAACCGGATCAGGCCCAAAATGGAGTACTGTTGTCATGGACCAACCTTACACCATCACACCATGCACCGTGCCTTGAAATACTGACCCCCAACCTCAAGTGGAACTCGTATATATGATCTATTGCTAATGATGCAGGTAAAATGGTCGGCTCTCTGTGCCGCCTCCGTAAGTGCCTGACTCCTCCTGCTATCCTCTACCCTTATAAGAACCGGATCAGGCCAAAAATGGACGAAATTTGGACGCAACTTACCCAGACCTCACCATGCACCGTGCCTTGAAATACTGACCCCCAACATCAAGTGGAACTCGTATAGATGATCTATTGCTAATGATGCAGGTAAAATGGTCGGCTCTCTGTGCCGCCTCCGTAAGTGCCTAACTCCTCCTGCTATCCTCTACCCTTATAAGAACCGGATCAGGCCAAAAATGGAGTACTGTTGTCATATTTGGACGCAACTTACCCAGACCTCACCATGCACCGTGCCTTGAAATACTGACCCCCAACCTCAAGTGGAACTCGTATATATGATCTATTGCTAATGATGCAGGTAAAATGGTCGGCTCTCTGTGCCGCCTCCGTAAGTGCCTGACTCCTCCTGCTATCCTCTACCCTTATAAGAACCGGATCAGGCCAAAAATGGAGTACTGTTGTCATATTTGGACGCAACTTACCCAGACCTCACAATGCACCGTGCCTTGAAATACTGACCCCCAAACCTCAAGTGGAACCCGTATATATGATCTATTGCTAATGATGCAGGTAAAATGGTCGGCTCTCTGTGCCGCCTCCGTAAGTGCCTGACTCCTCCTGCTATCCTCTACCCTTATAAGAACCGGATCAGGCCAAAAATGGAGTACTGTTGTCATATTTGACGCAACTGATCTATTGCCTCAGACCTCACCATGCACCTCGTGCCTTGAAATACTGACCCCCAACCTCAAGTGGAACAATATATATGATCTATTGCTAATGATGCAGGTAAAATGGTCGGCTCTCTGTGCCGCCTCCGTAAGTGCCTGACTCCTCCTGCTATCCTCTACCCTTATAAGAACCGGATCAGGCCACAAAATGGAGTCTGTTGATATATTTGGACGCAACTTACCCAGACCTCACCATGCACCGTGCCTTGAAATACTGACCCCCCTCAAAAGTGGAACTCGTATATATGATCTATTGCTAATGATGCAGGTAAAATGGTCGGCTCTCTGTGCCGCCTCCGTAAGTCCTGCTCCTCCTGCTATCCTCTACCCTTATAAGAACCGGATCAGGCCAAAAATGGAGTACTGTTGTCATATTTGGACGCAACTTACCCAGACCTCACCATGCACCGTGCCTTGAAATACTGACCCACAACCTCAAGTGGAACTCGTATATATGATCTATTGCTAATGATGCAGGTAAAATGGTCGGCTCTCTGTGCCGCCTCCGTAAGTGCCTGACTCCTCCTGCTATCCTCTACCCTTATAAGAACCGGATCAGGCCAAAAATGGAGTACTGTTGTCATATTTGGACGCAACTTACCCAGACCTCACCATGCACCGTGCCTTGAAATACTGACCCCACAACCTCAAGTGGAACTCGTATATATGATCTATTGCTAATGATGCAGGTAAAATGGTCGGCTCTCTGTGCCGCCTCCGTAAGTGCCTGTCTCCTCCTGCTATCCTCTACCAAGAACCGGATCAAGAAAATGGAATACTGTTGAAAATTTAGGAGTACTGTTGATATATTTGAAATACTGACCCCAAACTCACCCAACCGTCATTCTATTGCAATGATGCAGGTAAAATACTCGGCTTCCAAACCTCAAGTGGAACTCTCCTGCTATCCTCTGATCTTATTGCTACCGGATCAGGCCAAAATGGTCGGTTCTCTGTTCCGCCTCCGTAAGTGCCCTCACTCCTCCTGCTATCCTCTACCCTTATAAGAACCGGATCAGGCCAAAAATGGTCGGCTCTGTTGCCTCCGTAAGTGCCTATTTGCTATCCTCTACCCTTTATAAGAACCGGATCAGGCCAAAAATGGAGTACTCCTTTTGGACCCTTTCCCCAGACTTCACAATGCACCCTTGAAATACTGACCCCCAACCTCAAGTGGAACTCTTATATATGATCTATTGCTAATGATGCAGGTAAAATGGTCGGCTCTCTGTGCCGCCTCCGTAAGTGCCTGACTCCTCCTGCTATCCTCTACCCTTATAAGAACCGGATCAGGCCAAAAATGGAGTACTGTTGTCATATTTGGACGCAACTTACCCAGACCTCACCATGCACCGTGCCTTCTTTGATACTGACCCCCAACCTCAAAAGGAACTCGTATATATGATCTATTGCTAATGATGCAGGTAAAATGGTCGGCTCTCTGTGCCGCCTCCGTAAGTCATTTGACTCCTCCTGCTATCCTCTACCCTTATAAGAACCGGATCAGGCCCAAAATGGAGTACTGTTGTCATATTTGGACGCAACTTACCCAGACCTCACCATGCACCGTGCCTTGAAATACTGACCCCCAACCTCAAGTGGAACTCG